AAATTTGATTTCTGTAGGACAGCTTGCTAGAGAAGGATATATTACAACTTTTTCAGGCTGTGAATGGAAGATCACCAAAGGAGCACTCGTCATTGCTCGTGGTAAGAAGATTGGTACTCTCTATGTAGCCTCAAATTTAGAGAATATCATTGCAGTAGCAGATGCTGATGGAAAATCAAACCTATGGCACCAAAGGCTTGGCCATTGAGCGAGAAAGAGATGAAGACACTTTTGTCAAAAGGGAAGCTGCCGGATCTAAAGAATGTAGATGTCGGACTATGCGAGGATTGCATCTTTGGCAAACAAAAGAAAGTCAGTTTTGCAAAGATTGGCAAGACACTCAAGGCAGAAAAGTTAGAGTTGGTTCATACTGATGTATAGGGACCATCTCCAGTTCCATCTCTTGCAGGCTCTCTATATTATGTTACCTTCATCGATGATTCAACAAGGAAGGTGTAGGTTTATTTTCTGAAGAAGAAATCAGAAGTCTTTGATATCTTCAGAAAATGGAATGCCATGGTGGAAAATGAGACTGGTTTGAAAGTCAAGCGGTTGAGGTCTGACAATGGAGGAGAGTACAGAAAAAGTAGATTCAGAGATTTCTGCGCAAACAATAGGATCAAGATGGAGACAACAGTTCCCATGACACCGCAGCAGAATGTCGTAGCAGAGCGCATGAACATAACTCTGAATGAACATGCCAAAAGCACGAGGATACATGCCGGATTGCCCAAATTGCTATGGGCTGAAGCTATCAACACTACAGCTTACCTGATCAACCGTAGGCTCTCAATTCCCTTGGATGGTGGAATACCAGAGGAAGCTTTGAGCAAAAAAGAAATAAACCTTTCACACTTAAGAGTGTTTGGTTGTATTTCTTATATACACATAAACTCTGCTGAAAGAAGTAAACTAGATGCAAAGTTCAACAAATGCTTTTTTTTTGTTATGGTGGTGATGAGTTCGGTTACCCGTTTTGGGACTATGAAAATCGAAAGATCATCAGAAACAGAGATGTCATTTTCAATGAGAATGTGATGTACAAAGACAGGTCAATCGTAGAATCAAGTAGCTCCAATACCGAAGCTGAAACAAAGGAATTTACCGAGTTTGAGGAGATTTCTGGAAATGATGTTCAAATCAGTCCAGAAGCAGTTCAAGAAGAACCAGACACACCAGAACTGAGACTTTCCTCTAGAATTCCTAAACCAACCCAGCGTTATTCGCCTTCTTTGCACTACTTGTTGCTGACTGACAATGGTGAACCAGAGTGCTATGATGAAGCAATGCAGGTGGAGGATTCAGTCAAGTGGGAGTCTTCTATGAAAGATGAGATGGACTCGCTTATGTCAAATCAGACGTGGGAATTAGCTGAATTACCACCAGGTAAGAAATCACTCCATAACAAGTGGATTTACAAGATCAAAGAAGACCACGATGGGAGAAAACGCTACAAAGCAAGATTGGTTTTCAAAGATTTTCAGCAGAAAGAAGGTATTGACTACAATGAAATTCTCTCCAGTCGTAAAACTGTCTACAATCAGACCGGTGTTGAAAATTGTAGCTGCAGAGAATTTACATCTTGTGCAGTTAGATGTAAAGACAGCTTTCCTTCATGGTGATTTGAAGGAAGAAATCTATATGAGGCAGCCAAAAGACTTCATAGAGGCAGGCAAGACAAACCTGGTATGCAGGTTGAAGAAGAGCTTGTATGGTTCAAAACAAGCTCTTAGACAGTGGTATAAGAAGTTCGATAGTTTCATGAGTAACAGTGGTTTTACCAGATGTCAAGCAGATCATTGTTGCTACATCAAGAGGTTCGACAATAGCTTCATTATTTTATTATTGTACGTTGGTGACATGCTCGTTGCAGGCTCAGACATGCAAGAGATTATACATTTGAAGCAAAAATTGTCGAATCAGTTTGCTATGAAGGATCTAGGCGCTGCAAAGCAGATTCTTGGGATAAGGATCAAGAGAGACACAAAGTCGGGGACTTTGATGTTATCACAAGCTGAGTACATTAACAAAGTACTCTTCAGGTTCAACATACAAGATGCTAAACCAGTAAGTACACCTTTATGTGTTCATTTTAGACTCTTCAAAGAACAATCACCAAAGACGAAGGAAGAACGTGCACACATGGTGAAGGTGTCGTATGCCTCAGCAATTGGAAGTCTGATGTATGACATGGTTTGTACCAGACCAGATATTGCTCAAGCAGTGGGAGCTGTTAGCAGGTACATGAATAATCCGGGCAAGATACACTGGGAAGCAGTCAAATGGATCTTCAGATATCTACGGGGTACCACAAACAAAGCACTTTGTTTCAAAGGTGGAGATACGATACTGACAGGCTATGTAGATGTTGACTTAGCCGGAAACGTTGACATCAGAAGGAGCACTACATGATATGTCTATACTCTAGGAGGTACTGCAGTGAGTTGTGTTTCTCAACTACAGAAGATAGTTGCTCTCTCCACAACTGAAGCAGAATATGTCGCTGTTACGGAAGCCAACAAGGAGATGGTTTGGCTTCAAAGTTTCTTGGAAGAGTTAGGCAAGAAACTAGAAAACAATCTCTTGTATTGCGACAGTCAAAGTGCTCTTCATCTAGTGAAGAATCATTCTTTTCATTCCAGGACGAAACACATACAATTGAGATATCATTTTATTCGGTCTCTTCTGGAAGATGGGATTTTGAAACTTGAAAAGATTAGTGGAGCTCAAAATCTGGCAGATATGTTAACAAAGACGGTGACTACAGATAAACTGAAGTTGTGTTCAGCTTCAGTTGACATGCTAGAATAACAGGATCAGAAATGTTGTTTCATCGATCGTGGTGTGAAGACAGATTAAAATTAGTCTTCAAGTGGGAGATTGTTGTAAAGTCAAGGAAATTGGGCTAGCAGCCGACTGCTAGAATAGTCTAAGGGGGCTGTTAATTTATTATTATTATTTTGTAATAGGGATAATTATAAAATTGAGTCATTAAACTTTAAGGTATTTATAAGATTAGCCCTTGTTGTGCGAAACCATCAGCCATGGTATTACCACTTGTATGAATACAACACAAGATGACAGCTCTTTCCTTGACCCAAGAATCAATTTCCCGAATGAGAGAGTTGAAGGCCGGAAGATAAGAAGCTGGAACAGAGATCCAATCCAAAGCCGATTTGCAGTCAAACAGTCGAACGAAAATTATCACACGGACAGTCCAAGTTTGATTGCCAAAATTTCAACTAAAATGGGAGGACAGATTCAGAAAATGAGATCAAACGTTTATCGTCAGAGTTACGAAGGATATCCCCAATCCCACCTGCATACCTATCGCTTAACATATCACCATCTACGTTAAATTTCAAGAAACCGGAAGGGGCAGGGCTCCATGAAATAGGAGAGAGGTTATTACATCTCACAGAAGAAGATTTATCCGCCGATGATGGATCAAAAACAAGATCATCCATCGAAACCATGGAAGATGGAAACTTAGCCTTAAACCATGAAGCTGGTCGGAAACTTGGTTAGGAAAAATAATTGGATTACATCCAATTTGCTATCACCAAAGACTATTTCATTTCTAAAGAGCCACAAAGAGCAGAGAACTACAAATGGAATAAAATGTCAAATAGAGTCCTTGGAGGAATGTGAACTAGAATCATACCAAGAAGACAAGGAGGAAACATTACTCGGAAATACTGTCGAGAGATCCCAGAAAAGTGAAAAACGCATACAAATCTCCCAAGAAACCTTGCATAATAAAAAGAGATGAGTAACAATTTCAATTTCATTTCGGCAAAAAGAATATGATCTTACAGATTTTGGTTTAAATTATAATAATATACTCTTTACCAAATAAGAATGTCCAAATTACATTTCAATATTATAATAAAATTACATTTCAATATTATAATAAACAAAACTATAATTAATTAAATTAATATATTCTCTTACTTAAAACAAATTAATTTAGAACTAAATCTTAGATTTGATGAAAAAATTTAGATGACATTAGATTCATGAAAGACCTATCTCATGCAACTAACTCTTAGATAATGAGAAAAAATTATAGAAAAAATTCCCAAAACAATGATTATAATTTATGTAGAAATAATAGATTTCACTAATTTAATTATTAAAAATTAAACTAAATTATACTTCGAAATTATTTAATTATAATTTTAATAAAAAATATTTAATTTTCTTCCAAAAAATATATTAAGTAAAATATTATTATAAATATAATACTATTTCGTTAAATATTAACAAAATAGTAATGTAGTATGATATAACAACAATTTTAATCTTTAAAATTTATAAAACTTATCAAATTTATATTAATATGAAATAATTCAATAAATTAATTATTTATATTTTAAAAGATAAAATATTAAATATTAACCAATAACTAACTGATCTAATATGATAAAATATTAAATTCTTTAGACACCTAAAGTTAACTTAGGTACAATTTAAGCACTACATTAAGCTTAGAATATAAACATAAACATGTCACTTAATCATTTTTTTAACAATTGTTACTGTGTAAGCACCTAAAAGTGTAATAGAGAAAACACTAGACACGTAAAAATATAACAGAGAAAACATTAGACACCTATTTTGACGAATGATTCTAAGTGTTGAAAGTTAACTTAGTGTATAATTTGAGCACTTGCTTTTACATTAAGCCTTATTTTATATATGTAAATTACGTTTTCATTAATATATTTATTGATTCTAATTATATTTGATATTTTTAAGATATTAAATTAAATTTCAAAAACATATATAAAGATTGTAAGAATATAAAACGTATAAAAAAAGAAGTTTGGTTTGGATTTTCAATTCAAATAAGGATACTCATTTAAATGAAGAAAAAAAGTATCTGATATCAATCATTCAGCCCTCAGTAACACAAGAAATTACATTCATATGTTGAGAGTAGAGCCAAAATACAAAACAAGAAAAAATAGAGATGGAGATTATATCAGATGTGGGTGTGAAACCGGCGACAAAGGAGAGGAAAAGTGAAGTTTGTATTAGCAATATTCTTCATGAATCTGAAGTCAGACTCTTTATATTTGATTTTTCTCCACAATTTTTTTTTACTATGATAACTTGGAGGTTAAGCAAAAGATAAAATAAGTTGATAACCATATCAATAAAGAACAACCAGCTTCGGGGTTACTGATTGATGCATAACAATCAAATAAACCATGACCACATCATTTTCACACTGCCTGTACCTCTACTTCCCAAGAAATTGTTGTCCTACTATAACCAAAAGCCGAAAGATTTTTGGGGCTGCCAATCAAGCATGGAGTGGCTTCATGTTTCTACATCGCACGTAAGTCAAAAATTGTACCGGCAGCTCTTCCAATAGAGCTTGGACACAAGAAATCTGCCCACCTGTACAAACACCGTTCTTTGATTAGTTTAAATCAAATGTAAAACTAATCGAGTGTTGGACACATCAAACGTACAATATCGGTTTTGATTCAGCATTAACCATATCCAATTTTTTTAGACTGGGATGAATATAAGATGGTATTTGTTCATAATTTTTCTTAGCCTATTGACAAACACACCTTGCAGACACAACTGCTCAAACCTAGGTCCTCTAAGAAGAACAACATTTCCTTTTACCATTGAGGCCATTCAATGGTCTCTAATACATTAAGTTTGGAAGAAATGGTTTGATAAAACGGAAAAGCTTGGTGGTGTAGAACATGACTTACTGTGCACTTCTAGCATGGGAACAAATTGTACAATGTCTCGTGTAGCAACACGACCTGTTGAGCTCTCCAATCGATGCCCAGCATCAACATCCAGAATCTACAAAATAATATGACCCCAAAACAAAATTTCTTATCATCCTTTTAGTAGAAAAATTACAACTATATAGTAATGCAAAAGGTGACAATTCAAAAGATTGTTCTAGAATAAAATGGCATACCTCCATTTGTTTAAAGTCTGCATTCCCCACTCCAACTATAAGAATGGATAAAGGAAGATCAGATGCCCTAACCAAAGCATCCATTGTTTGTTGAATATCTGTCAGCACTCCATCCTGCATAACACCACATATCTTTCTAAGTTCATTCAATGACTAACAATTCTTTACATACATAGAGGCAATTCATTTTTACCGTTATAATGAGCAGCACAAAATATTTGGTAATGTCATTTGAGGCAGCCTGGGAAGCCATTTGTGCAGCCTTGTTGATTACATCTCCGAACAAAGTAGGTCCAGACAGAGTGACATTCTGCAGCGCACTAGCATAAGCACCCATGATGCCGTGAACTCCTTCAACCTTTTAATAGAATTAAATAACTAGTCTCAGAAGAACTCGCAACTTTGGAGGTGAAGGATCATGGTGAAAACAACAAAGGGCTTCTCTTACCTCAGAGGCATTTGTACCGTTCAAGTTAAAACAATGGGATAAAGTGCCATTATGTGTCCTTCCTCCAAAACCCCAAGCTGAAAACCTCCTATCAGAATCATAAAATTGTATAACCTCCCCAACCTCCATTATAGCCTGTTAAGATGTCATTAGTAAGCTAGCCATCATTATGGGGGATTCAAGCAAGGAAAATTCTTGTGCTAGGAGAACATCTCTAAACTAAATAGCAATGCATTATAAAGCGCTATCCCCGACTTACTCGTTGGTAAGAATTCAATCGGCCTGAAGGATCAATGTAGTGCAAGGAATCTTGATGTCGAGGATTTCCATTTGAAGCTGGACAAGTCAAATATGTAAATTTGTACCAGAACATAAGAATTTGGAAAACAAAAATGCTTGAGACTAGTATGTCATAGATCACAATGATTATTTACCTGTAAAGTCAATGGCAACCATAAAATTTAGCTCAAACCCACTAGAAATGTAGTCAAGGAAACTGAATTGCTCCTTCTCAATAAATTGATCAACAAATAGCTGGCCCTTCAGAATCTGCAAGGCAAAGGAATGTTTAAAAACACAGCATATTGCTGCTAATAATATTGATGCCAAGCACGGTGAACACCTTTTCCCGACCACGATGAGATGGGAAAACCAAATTCGCACCACTTCCATCTTTGTGAAGTTTTTCCAACTCCGAAACTGATTTATGAAGTTGGCTGATTAAGTAGATAAAGAAGTCCAAAGTCAGCCTTTTTCTTGGCAGGCAACAAACAGTTTTAACTAGTACAAGCTAAAAGAGCATAAAACCAGAGGGAAATGCAATATATTTTGGTAAGCATGAAGAAAAAAAAAGTGCAGTTTTTTCAATAGTAGATGAGGATGAAGTAATTCTAAAAAGTACTACTACTTCCTTAGTTGATACTAAAGAAATACATAATATGATCCAAAAACAATAATGGATGAGAGGCAACTTACCTCAGACAGAAAACAAGTGGTTTCTCCCAAAAAATCCTGCTCATTCAACTTTAGTTCCTACAAAGTAACACATCAGAAAATTAAATAATAAAAAAAGCAGCGGTACTTGACATATGGTATTTAACAAATTCCTTTTATGAAACAATTTTTCCTTCACCAATTGAAAACTTTTTGTTCCAATGGTAAAATTTGTAAAAAATAAGGAAAACACTTTTACAGCTAAGTTATGCAGCTCTAGCTATTCATTTTTCTTGAAATTTCCGAGTATGACACCCGTGTATGGAAGATAGGACCCTCCAAATACATAGGAGATTAAGCATACCCATGACGAACATATATCAATATTTGATCTTTTTCTATGATTGTTGACTATAAATTTTGGTTCCTCATTTGTTAGGTGCTATATGAATCAAATTGTTAAATTCATTCAGAAAGGAGTTTGATTTAAGAAATATAGGAAGGGGATTATCTAGCACAATAAAAACTTGAAACATTATGATTGGTAGTGAAGCCGTTGTAATCTGACAATGTTTGCTGATATCTCCGCAGAACCTGTCAACAACAAAATCTAGAGGGAAAAAAGAAAAGGAATTTTGACATACCTTCACAGGTATGTTGTGATAGTTGGTATCCACATCATATACATGAAAACTGGAGCAGAGGGAAAAGAAGAACATCAGTCTAAAAATCCGTATAGAGACTGACGCAAAACTACAGTTTTTTTTTGGGGGGGGGGGAATGGGGTAATCTGAAAGATATGCTTCAGAAAACATGGGAAGCTTACACCAAATTTTGAACAATCTCAAACTGATAAGCAACATTAATCTTCCGAATCCAAACAGGATTCAAATTGTTGAGTATGACTTCAGTACGACCAAGCTCCTCTAGCATACCATCCATTTTCTTTACATACACAACTGCCATAGTATCACTCTACAAGAAAACAAGAGCAGTTGCAACTTTGAAGTAAACTTTTACTATGTAAACAAAGTAACAAACACATGCAATAGAACACCTGAACTTTCAGGCATTTGCTACAAAGTACATGTTCTATATCTCTTATTTTCCCTAAATTTCCAATACCTGCCATTAGAAAATGATAAAGGCACATGAACCCAAAATGAAGGAAGATTTATCAAGAATCTTACCTTTGATGTGATGTCAAGATCGCGCAAGTTTGATGCTGACATAGATAACTGCAATGCAATTTTAAATCACAATAAAACTCCATAATAAGCAGCATTTTCATATTACAAAACTAATATGAACTATCCACTGCATCTAAATTTGTAATTGGGTACTATAATATATCCTACTATCCCAAGTCCCAACAGAATCCATGAAATTGTTTCCATGCAATATTAAGGTGTTCGGAAACAAAATGGCTGCCTCGTAGTGAATGCATCATTCACATAATAGAAAGCCGAGAAAAGCTATACTTATTCTTACAGGAACATGACAGTTCTGGTATTCCGTCCTACTGAGCATGAAGACAATCTCTCCAATAAATTTAAATATTCCATTTTAAGTACTTCATACCATGATAGCAATAGACAATCACCGAGCTAATACTTGATTAAAAGCATAAGATATGAACAGTTGACAGCTTGATGCATTCTTATCATAATCAGTAGATATTTCTCCAATAAATAATAGTTAAAGGTTCTATAGCCAAGAAGCGTCCAAATGTTTGTCCTCTGGTAGGTCCAAGGTAATAAAACATTCACATCAGCAAAAAATTAAAGGAATCAAATTACAAAAGCATCTTGCAGTCTTATGTGCCCAATCAAATTTAATACATGTGTATATATAAGGGTATAAAAGGGTAATAAAAATATGGTGTCATGTCAAGCCCTTGCATATGATTAACTTGTGTTTCTACATCTCAGCTGACTATTTGAATAAGAATCTAAAAAAGAGAATCTTGCTCTGTTTCGGCCAGGGAAACAATGATTCGGAAACAAGTTTTGAAGTGGGGTTAGTTCAGCAAAGCAGATGGTTTGAACAAAAAGAAATTAAATTAAAGCAGATGACTTAAACCTTTCGAATAAATTGCAGAAACCAATAATAACACATCAATTAATCCATAACATGAAAAGTCAAAACCATCAACTTTGCTTAATGTTTGATGCTGAGAAATAGATAAAGATGTAGAGTTAACATGATAAGACCAACATGATAGATACAAAAAAATCATCTAAATATATAAAAAAAATTAAATTCAAGTTCAAATAACATAACACACTAAGAATCAATAAAATCTCAATAATCAATCCAAACTATACAGTCACGCACACGAGTACTGTGGTAAAATCAATGTCAAATATCAGAATTCATTACAGTTATACGTAAACAAAGATGATTTATCTTTTGATGTAGAACCCCTATAAAAAAAATTTTAACCCAACAATTATAAAAAAATAATAATAATAAGAATTATAGTACCTCAACTTGAGTGAAAAGAGGACATTGACCTCGAATTCTGAAATAGTGATCAATGGCGTCGTTATGTCCAGCATTGTTATTCACAATGGACCTACAATCAACTCCACCTACAGCTTGTTTGCCGCCTTTCAGGTCACCAGAAACACAGCCGCCCATGTCTTTCCAAATTCTTTTGACAATTTTATTTTTTTAAAACGAACTATTTAAACTCTTACCTGAAGCTTAAAATTTGATTTTCGCCTTCTTTCTATAAAGAGATTTCCAGGATACCGAAACCTTACACTAAAACAACAACAGGAATTTTTGGGTTTGGGTTAATTTTTATTTTCAATTGTTTCTGAAGAAAATTTGCCGTGGAGGTTTCTCGACTAGACCCAAAAGCAAAAGGAGAAGAACAGCAATTGTGTCATAGTCTGTTTCACCTTTCAAGTCGTTTGATGCACAAATTTGGTAACGCGGTTGAAATGTCGAGCGGTTAAAAAATAATCAAAATATGGACGAATTGAGCAATTAGTAAAAATCACGATATTATCCAAAGAGTCAAATGGAAACCTTGGGGCTTTTTTATTCATGTAAAGATATATTTTTCCATGATTACTGGGGAAAATGAACTGATTTTTCTCGAGAAAATTAACCACCGCACCGCCCGAATATAAGAAACTAACTTTATTAGGGGGAAAACCTTGATTAGAATTTGGTACGATAATCTTGGTCAAAACAAATAAGACGTTTTAAAGAAGATTGTTGCTGCTGAGTATCAAACTTCAATATGATTTTAGGGTTTAATACCTTATCTGTTAAAAAAGTAAAGAAAATTAATAATTAAGAGGCATTATCATTACAAGAACTTGTACTAAAAAAATTAAAATATTATACTTTATTTCACAGTTTTATTATGAATTATTTTTTCGATTAATTTAGGGTGATTATAAAATAATATATATTTTAAAAATTCTTAATCATTTGATAATAAAAATTTAAACACCTTACAATCACTAATGTTCGAACCTAAGATCTTAAACGATAACAATCATCTATAGCTTAGTTCGTGCTAGTTTAAATTATTTCAGTTTTGAATATATATATATATATATATAAACTAAAAAATATTGTTTTAAAAATATATTTTTTAAGCTCATTAGTGTCACGATTAGTTCCTGATACAACTTAATTAAAAACTTAAAAATTAATTAAATTTTGTAACCAAAAAGAAATATTAATTATTTTTTTATAAAATAAAATGTTCAAAAATAATTAATTTAATATTCTAGTTAATATATCCATATACTTCTAAACCATATATATGGTCAATTCGTCATCAAATTAATATTCTCGGGATAATACTGTCAAAAAATATTCTTTTTATAATCTGATATAAGAAAAGGAATAAAAAAATTAAACAAACATTCACAAGATTTTTTTTCATTTAATTAAGAATATTTTGCACTAATTTATAATATTTTTACTGAATTCTAAAAATTTATGTAATTAATTACATATTATTTCTATAAATATCATATAAGTAATCATTAATATTATCGTTTTTGGCTAAATCAATATAAATTATAAATTGATCAAAAACAATAATTGTAGAACTTTCATGCTAAAAAGAAATCAGGAATAAAAGATTCTATTTTTTTTTATCATAATAAGTGATTCTAGTTTAAATATTAGTATTAAAAGTTGATTTCAATTGAAAAAAAAATCAGTTTTAAAAAATTAAACTTGAAGTACATGAATATAGAAAATATTTCTAAAAAAATTGATTGAACCTGAAAATAATCTAAACTTTAACTTAATTTAGTATAACGATATCGTCATATAACAATATTAATCAAGTTAAAATTTAATCGATAATGGATTTATAACTAACAATATTTTAATTTTATTTTTTGGATTTTCTTATTATCTAAATTAGTCTTAACACATGATTTTATTAATTTAACAATGAAATTTAAATCTTCAGTCTTTTTTATCACGTGATATTTTAATATTGCACCATATCATTATTAAAAAATTAAAAAATAAAATTTAAAGATCAAATTGTCAAAAAAACCAATCTTGATCTAATAATGAACTAATGATCAAACAAATCCTTAAGTTAATATGAGTTAAGAACAAATGTGTTGCAAAAATATATACCGAGAGAGAGAGATGAAGAGAACTTACATGATAATAATTAAAAGGCAAAACTCAGAGTAATAACGAGTAGTTGGAAAGAAGCAGAGAAAGACTTAAAATCCCTGAGATGATAATCTGCTGCTGCTTGGTTTTTATATTTTCTCTAATCTATTTCTTCATTAAATCATCATCACGGCGTTGTATTTATAGAGACAATCCCACCAAACATCACTCGGTTTCACGTCACCTGCTACATGTCATCACCCGAGTATGCAATGTATCTCATTATCATAAAACATTTCATCCATCTTGGAACGATTACATGAATTGTTTAAGTGTGTTGAATATTCATAGTCCAAGGCCAATTCAAGTAGTAGACACTTATCCACACGTTTGGATTTTTCTAAATCTTGTTGTAATTTTCACTTAAAATACGTACCATTCACTTCACCTTTTCGATGTAAAGATTGCTTCTTCTTCTTTTTTCTATAAGTGATCAGAAGTTCATTTGTAAAATATATAATAATACTCTCTCTCTTTTCCTTAATATGATATGCTCGCTGCAAATCTGCATTTCTTTAATCTCTAACAATCTTCATGCATGGAATCCCTAAACTGGAAATTCATTGTTTTTTTTCTTTTCAGTTTAAATGGCGAAGCTTCGACGTTGTTTTTGCTGCTACTGCTATGTTTAGCTTTAGGGTTTTCGGTACCTTGTGGATACTTCAGACAATTACATCATGATATTTGTTGAACTCAACAATGATTTGAGTTCGAGTTGTAAGACTAATCCGCTTGCTTGTCGTGCCTGCTGAAGATGTGTGAGTTGTAAAAGGTTTTAAGCTATGTTGCATTCATACGGATACCGAATAGATACGAGGACGTGGAACAATAATTTCTAAAATTGTATGGTACAAGTATGGAAAGGGTACAATAAATATAAATAAAATTTAAAATTTGTAATTATTATAAAATCACGTATTAGATTCATATTTAATTTATTGTTTGCACTGTCTTCGTTAAAACGGACACATATTGAATTCTAGACATTAAGACATTTCAAGATGTGTTTAGAAAGATAATTGAATGACGATTCATATGTATGAAGACATCTCAATACAAAAATGTTCAGAAAACTAAACAATGGGCGACTACCATCTGGTTTTAATTTTATATTTTAAATTATTTGTATATTAAATAATAATAAATATCACATAATACCAAAATAATAATAATAATATAATTTAGGACGACCAAAACACGAACACTTTAAAAGTTCAGTTAGTAAATTAAAATAGATTAAGATTACAATGAATAAAATATGAGAAAGATTAATTTTTAGTGATGAATAATGTAGTTTACCCAACTTACAAATTCAATGGTTGCGTGCTACCAATCAATCCTAATTGGTGACGACTTATGTTTTAGATAAGGCAATATTGAATATACAAAAGTGTCCTTGTTCAAGGTAACACTCCAAATTTGAACAAAATTTTATTTTAACATCCTCTCCAAATGACCTAAACTAAAATAAATTACTTGGAGGGATCTTCCTTGAAACTCAAGAAGTGGATAAAAGCAAGGATAATCTATTCATATAACAATTTAATTTTGGTTTAATGTAAAAATAAGTGTTCAATTTATATTTTAGATTAAATTTAAGTGCTTAAAGAATTTTTTGTTAAAAATAAATGTATAATATTTTATTTGTTACACTTTTAGTTCATACTGTAAAAAAAATTGTTAAAAGATATGTGCAACATTTATATTTTCTTTTAAATATTTTTTAAAATACTTAAGATTATTATTATTTTTAAAAATATCCAAAATACTTTAAAATCACAAAACCTTAAAGTTTTTAATTTTAAACCTTATTTTTAATCACAGTTGATCATTTTCGGTCACCGTCGTCACATATCTTGGCCCACTTAATATCGACCATCATCTTTAGTGTCACCCTGAATCCCTAAATATGTAATTCTTAACTCTAAATTTAATTCGAACTGCGCATGAAAAATGGATATTTTGCACCGTTCATGTTAGGTTTATTTAACGCGGGCGAGGGAGGCATTGCCCGAGATTGAAGGGTTGTTTAACACCTGGGATTGAATTGTTGGGGTAGAGGCGGGCTAATATACGGCGTTACCGGATACATTAAAAGATATTTAATAAATTCAGTTTAGCGCTACCGAAAATGTTGAGTAATAATAATGTAGTAGGTCTAAATCATGAATAAATATTAAAAATTTTGGCAACCAGCAAACTTAGCTTGTCGGTTTATGTCGATACTTTATAAAACTGTATCGATCCACATCAATATAACAGGTAAAAATATGACAAAACTGGTCTCGAAAAGACAAAACCGGTAAAGCGGTACCAGATATATTGAAAGTGTCGATACTTTAATATAAGAATCGACACTTTGTGAATTTAAAAAAGTAGCAGTTTTAGCGTCTATAAAGTGTCGATACTTTATAACAATGTATCGATCCACAACGATATAACAAGTAAAAATATGACAAAACCGGTCTCTAAAAGACAAAATTGGTATAGAGCGACCGTATATATTGAAAGTGTCGATACTTTAATATAAGTATCGACACTTTGTGAATTTAAAAGAGAAACAATTTTAGCGCCTATAAAGTGTCGATACTTTATAACAATGTATCGATCCACAACGATATAACAGGTAAAAATATGACAAAACTGGTCTCTAAAGGACAAAACCGGTCTCTAAAGGACAAAACCGGTATAGAGCGATCGAATATATTGAAAGTGTCGATACTTTAATATAAGTATCAACACTTTGTAAATTTAAAAGAGAAGCAGTTTTAGCGCCTATAAAGTGTCGATACTTTATAAAAATGTATCGATCCATAACGATATAACAAGTAAAAATATGACAAAACCGGTCTTGAAATGAAAAAACCGGTAAAGCGCTACCAGATATATTGAAAGTGTCGATACTTTAATAAGTACGCGTAATAAATTATCGATACTTTCAAAGAAATAGGTAATTATATTATCGAATGTATCGACACCTGACATAAAAGTA